TTAGTTGAAATTTTCTCTTCACCTATTGTTAGAGCTCGCATTGCGAGTGGCGCTTTGCACTGCCAGGATTTGAAATTCACTTATATATAACTCACAAAATGCCAGTTAGATTATCCAAATAGCGAGTTAAAAACTTTGTAGCTCACAAATTTTTGTGAGTTGATTTTTTTTCATTGTTAATTTCACCTGGGAAAAAATCTATCTGACATCCCCCATTTTTAAACCCATGTCCGACGATCAGGCCTTTAATAAAAAAGATCCATTCAAATTACCTCCAGGTTTTTCCAAAATCTGTGTAGTTTGATCAAACAGCTGATTACATTTATTCAAATAAAATTAATTGTAGCTTAACTTGAGACATAAAATGTGTCAACCTAGTTAACATTTACCTTAAATATTAAGAGTAATCATTATTGTAACAACAGTTTACCCCCGCAACTTTTTGAAGTTTGTTTACTGCCACTAGTCAGCCATGTTGGGTGCCATGTTAGGTCTCCACTGTAAATATAACACCTGGTTTATTCAGTCCGGGGATGTTTGACTCTATTAATCATAAGAAAATAACCTGACCTATCGAACAATGCTTTTTTTGGAATGTTACATTCCAAGAAACAATGAAACAATGTTTAACATGTTTTCTTTTAACCTCATGTAGAAAATTTTGAATTTTTTTTTTTCTCTTTGAAAATTGATAAATAGATAGAGATTTATTTTTAGAAAGCTTTCATTTCAAAATTTCGAGTTGTCTTTTGAAATTGCGAGTTCATTTTTTTGGAACTTGCAATTATTTGCTAGTAGTAATTTTAGGGAGTTTCTATCCCTGTATGACTGCTCACTGTGCTCACTATTATGAGATTCATAGAGACACGTACCAGACCATAGTTAAGATCATCATGGTCAAAATACCACTTTGATGTCTTACTTCTTGATCAGATTTATTGTAATAGAACACAAAAAGTTTAAATTTTTTCATGTTGTTCATAACCCATAATATTCCATTTTTTTGCAGGCGGAAATGACAGTGGAGATGATGAATCGTTACGTCAGTCCCATTAACCCTGCTGTTTTTCCACACTTGACAGTTGTACTTCTAGGAATAGGCATCTTCTTCATGGCCTGGTTCTTTGTGTATCCTTTTAAACTGCAATTCTATATATACAGTGTATATTGTTTTTTATGAAAACTGTTAATCTATTAGTCTTTGTCCAATCCCCATAGTCAGAGAGTATTTGCATCAAATATGGAGATATCCCACAGAATTACTAAATGAAACTCCAGTTTTATAAAACTTCAAAAAGACCAAAGAATTAGGCACTTTTGAAAGGCATTCATGAAAAGTGAAAATTTCATTAATCTGTCACATGAAGAAAAAAAACTTTATAAAGTAAAAGTTCAGGTGTGGTCACCCAACAAAATCGTAGACATACTAGAAAAGTTTCGTATGCATTTCTCTTGCAGATCGCATGCCAAATATGCCCTTCAACTTACATACAGTTTACCTTAACAGCTGGATCAGATGACGAGGGTGACCTCAAACAAATTCACCCAATGACCTTTACAAAGAATTACTGGTATCCCTGGTAGCATCTGTGTTCATGGGATTCGGAGTCGTGTTCTTATTATTGTGGGTTGGCATTTATGTTTAGCGAAGAAGGTATGAAGAAACATTTCACAATTTTTATGTTGTATATGTACATTGTATATATTAAGTACACATCATGGTTTATCAACATTTTCTCCAATTTCTTTAAAAGAAGGTGTGTATTAACAAGAATGAAACTCATTTATGATTTAAGGTTCACATGTTTGATAAAGATCAAATTTAATTTAAATATGAACAATGTATTTAGAATACCTTGTTTGAAGAAAAAAATATGGAAAAAATATACCGGTACGTTAAAAAAAGAGAGATTTTTTTGGAATTTCAAGTATTTTGAACCCAAGTGACAAGACCACAAGATTATTTTTTGTCTGATTAGAGTAGCTGCTAATAAATATAATTCATGAACTACATGATTTTAAGTATAAATTATATATATATATACATATAATTATATGTTAATTCATGTAAGTATATATGTGTTTACTATTGTATATGATGCTTTTATCTTTCAGATCATAGAGACTGTAAGAGGAACATTCAGAAAACTTCAACGCAATTCATCTAGTTGTCATTTTACATATGTAATATTAATATATATACTTTTGTTAATAAAATGTTTAGTGTCGAAATTCTTTGATTTTTGTTGGTTTTTGAAAGCATATTAAAAAGTGGAAAGCACTTTGCATCTTAGATTATTGTACTTGTAATACAATGCAAAATATAACAAGAGGTCCAAGGCTACAATGCTCACCTGAGTAACTTTGGCCATGCTGTTCTTCACCAGGTATCCTCCCTTGCAATGGCACCGGTCTTCCCCCGATGGTTAATTTTTTGAACAATTTAGATTCTACATTACACCTGGATGCTTCAATGTAAGTTTCAACTTTTCTGGCCCTGTGGTTCTTGAGAGGAAGATTTTTAAATATTTTGCCTATATATCTGTATATTACAATGTTAAACTTGGATTTCTTGTTGTGGCCCCTGAATCTTGGATATATGTATCACTACTAGTCAAAAAGTTAACAAATAAGAACATCAAGATTTATGCACCCGCATTGATTTATCCTTGGCGTATATTGAGGTGTACACTGTATATTGTTTTTGTCCTGTCTGTTCAGCTGTTTGTTGTCAACTTTAACCATGGCCATAACTTTTGTACCATGAGAGATAGAGACTTCATATTTGGTATGCTTACTCCACTAATAGCTTTTTAAATGACATCAAGGTCAATGACCTTCATTGTGACCTATATGCTAAAAATAGTTTTTTCGAACTTTTGCCATAACTTTTTTGAACCATGAGAGAGACTTCATACTCCACTAATTAAGCCCTTTCAAATGAAATCAAGGTCATTGATGTTTGACCTTGACCTATATGCTAAGAGTGGATTATTTGAACTTTGTTGCCGCTGGGGGTATACTAGTAGTGTTTCACAAACACATCTTGTTTCCTTCAGATTTTCAACGAAATCGGTGTGAATAATAAATATGGTGTGGTGGTCAGCCGGTTCGATGGCCAGTGGCCAGATAGCTCAGTTGGTAGAGTACCTGACCAGAGTTTCAGGGGGTCTGGGTTCAAATCCCGGTCTGGTCCGCTGCATTTTCTCCTCTCCCGTTACATTTGGTGCCGTTCCATGCCCTGGAATTTACAGGTGAAAGACCTGCCAGGGATGAGCCTGGGTTGGGGTCTTTGGAGGACCAAAGACCTGTAAGGAGGGAGGAATGTGGCGGTCAGCCGGGTTCGATCGCTGGTGGCCAGATAGCTCAGTTGGTAGAGCACCTGACCGGAGTTTCAGGGGGCCCGGGTTCGAATCCCGGTCTGGTCCGCTGCATGCATTTTCTCCTCTCCCGTTACAATGGATTATGAAAATATTGATAGTGTTTTCCGTTGAGGTGATTTAAGCAAGAGTTATTCCCCATGACCACGATATTGTAAGTCTCTTCATTATTCAACCTCTTAGGCAAAACATGTTATAGGAAAAGGGTCTATAAATTCATGATATGGTACATGTGTTACTGAATGTTTATAATTGTGAATGTGCATTGTACATATTATTCAACTTATTTAAAATACTCAGGACACATCACTGTTAATATAGTAGCTGAACGTTGTTAAAATCATCATGTATACGTACATGTATTTGATAATATATTCAACTTGTTAAACTAAAATCTATCATGACGCCATTACTTTCAGCTTTATTTTTCCGTAACTGACTGCTCTAATAGAATTATGTAGAAAATAAAGTATTTTCGTGGAATTCAATTTGCATGAAAAGTATTCCCGATACCTATGTTAAATTTAACGTTATTTTAAAGAAGAGGCCATGATCATACAAATTACCGTTTTCGGAAAGACTAGGCAATCAGGATACATTTTTTTTTGGTCTGATGTGGAAAAAAGCTCTCATAGTCATGACTGCTTTTCTAAATTTTTTATTGGAAATTACAATGAATTATTTTTTACGTGGCATGTAGTTTTTGCCCGGTCGATCCCTCCATTTGTCTGACTTAGTTTAAGTTTGTCCACAAAACCTAAACTTTACCCATTACTTTTGATTGTTTGGAATGATGACTTTCATATGAAATTTCATAATTGCGTTAGCAAAATACTTAGCAAAATTTTTAACCAACTTTAACCTTGGCCATACATTTTGAATAGTTGGTGCTAAGGATTACACGTTGCATCTGAAATTCTTACTGAAAAGACCTTTCTTTGAGAATAAATATTTTTAACCCTATGACCTTGACTTTGGAATTTTACTCACTTTTAATAAAGATATAAAATGAGCTAAACATAGTTTCACAGTTGATAAACTAAGTTTATCGACTGTAAATTATAGTTTACAAACCGTAAACTTTAGTTAACAATTCGTTAACTATAGTTTTCATCTGTAAAACTATATTTAACGGTTGTTAACTATAGTTTACGAATGCTAATCTAAGTTTATCTGTCTTTAATAAAGTGTTAACATTAGATTTTGTTGATAAATGTAAACTATAATTTACAACCGTAAACTATAGTTAAGATTTGTTAATCATAGTTTCACAAATCGAAACTATATTTATCAGTTAACAGTTAACTATAGTTAAGAGTTGTTAATCATAGTTTCACAAATCATGAAACCATATTTATCAGTTAACAGTTAACTATAGTTAAGAGTTGTTAATCATAGTTTCACAAATCGAAACTATATTTATCAGTTAACAGTTATCTATAGTTAAGAGTTGTAACTATAGTTTACAAATCGTGAAACTGTATTTATCAGATAATCTATGCTTTGCAATCGCAAATGATCGTTTTCAGTGTTAAGTATACTTTACGGTTGTGAAACATAGATTATCGCGTTAACTAAGGTTTATAGATGTAAAATATAGATTAACGTTGTTAACTATAGTTTACAGCCCGTAAACTATAGTTCACAACCAATAAACATAGTTTATTAATTGTGAAACTATGATTAGCTCATTTTTGTGAATTTGGCGTGCCATATTTAGTATTCCATAAATCTGATTACTAATAATTGGTGCTAGGCCTTTCATATTATTTCAATGTCTATTTCGTGTGACAATACCTTCCCTTGGGCTCCATTAATTCTCACCATTTGTCCCTGACCTCAGGGTTTGACATGTTTCAAAAAACTTATAATCGATGCCGTAACTTTCCAACAGTTAGTGCTAGGGTTAATTTAAGTTTGTTATTTCACATTTATATTCCTTGAGCAGGCACGTAGCATCGTTTTTGAAAGTGAGAAAATTTAGCATCGTTTTTGAAAGTGAGAATTTTTTTTTTTACTTCCCTATAAAAGTTGAAAAGCAAAAAAAAAAAAAATGGAAATTGCCCAAACTCGAAAATCCTATTTCGTGCGGGGGGGGGGGTTTAAAGGCCAACTTTTTTTCAGGGCCAACTTCCTTTAACTTCCAATTTTTTCCTATATTTCCTTCCTATGAATATACAATGGTGAACAGTGGGGGGGGGGGGGGCAACCACCTTTTCGATGGACATTTTCTATAGTAAAGGTAATGTTGGGGAAAAAAGTGAGGAGGCCTGGCCCCCCTGTTGCTACGTGCCTGCTGACACAAGATCGTCAGGTAACATCCTTTTTTATCTTTTGTCTTTCACCTTGGAGTTGCTTTGCATTTGAGAAACTTTAACCTTTGTAAAGCTGCCTTACAGGTGTGTCAATGTTTAACAAACACATTTTGTTCAATATTAAAACATTCACAATGAATCTTCAAATCATTGAGTTGAAAAAAAAATAAATTATGACAACAGAGGATTTGATGTTTTGACTTGATGTATGATTTGAAAGAACATGTTTGAGGTTATCAAGTCAGAAACAAGTTCGAGGTCACTGGACAAAAAACTGTATATTAATTTCTTACTGTCTTTCTACACTGTATACTATTGTGAATCAGAGCCTGTGTTATGCCCTTGTCTCAAGTTCAAAATTGCTACGGATAAGTTGTTTTGACTGGATGTATGGTCAGAGAGAACAGGTGTGAATTTGTTAAGTCAGTTGAAATCCATACAGTATGCTCATAACCAGAGTGTGTCATGGGTTAATGCAAGGTCACGGTAATTATTTGGACACGTTCAGGATCACATTCCTTAATGTCTTTTTACTGGAGAAACATTGTAAGTTATACCACCGTACAAGATTGCTTATTACCTCGGTTTGACCTTGACTACATGCCCAAGGTCTTTTCTTCCTGTTCGCAGCTCCTATCCGTTGCTTCGTAACGAGCAGACTCTATATATAGTCTAGCATTCATCTCATGATTCAAATAATAGAAAAAGACACATTTTCTTTTGTTGTTTTTTTTTTTTCAATCAGTGAATGCTCACATAGACCATAAAGTACATATGTGACCACCCCCACCCACCCCCTTTACCTAACATGAAACTCGGGAAAGTGAATTTTACCGTGTTTCGGTTTTACACTTCGTGGCGATCGGAATATCCTGTATTTCGCAACCCCCTTTGATACAATAAACAATGCTTTGAGGTTTGAGTGCAGACGTAAAATCTTGTACTGTAAGTAAACAAATTATTCGTCTCTAAGCATGCTAAAATGCAAATTTGATTTAAACCGAATAATTCAGACAGAATTGCGGAATAACCACTTGAAATCATACATTTGTCTTTGACAACACATCGAACAATGTGTATGTTCAGTCGTTTTAATTGTTTAGGTAGACAGCATTGGTTGTCACGTCGTGCAATCATTGGTCAGAGTTCAATGACCTTTTTGATATTCATTTATTTTTTTATTTCCAATGACTTAACAAATTAGTGTACCGAAGTTGTGAATGGGAAAGACAGGGAGATGCACAGGGACTTGAGGCAATCTTAGCAAAATCGAGTATATAAAGAATAATAGGGGAGTTCCCATATCAAATCACCGTCTCAAGCCATGTCCGGAGTCCGCATCTAGCTCTCTCCTATCTGTGGCTGTTTGATCACAAAAAATGTCGTACTCTTGAATATTTGCGCCTCTGTATTGTGACGTCATATTTACCAGGTAGTCAGTTGCAAGTTTGGTCATAAAAAAATGTTAATCTCTGTTGAGATTCTGCTGGGCTAGATATTTGGACTGACACCCGCATTATCTCTGGACAGCTATTAA